CTTCCATTGAGTACTTGATAAACTTTCGAAACAGTCACTCGTGTAGAGTAAAGATTTCTCTACAAGATGAGATATCTTTCAGCTCTCCACCATGTTTTATGATCATGATTATGAGTCTTATAATCATTTTGCACCTTGTATCACAAATGTGACTTTTTCAAAGGCTTCCAGCAAAATAATCATAAGACTATCATAAAACATGGTGGAGAGCTGAAAGATATCTCATCTTGTAGAGAAATCTTTACTCTACACGAGTGACTGTTTCGAAAGTTTATCAAGTACTCAATGGAAGAGAAAAAAGTTTCGAAAGTAACTAACTTTTAAAAGATTTATATCTCTTCAATGGAAGGCCTTGAAGAGCTGGGAGTGGTCTTATTTTATAGAGGACACTTTATCCTATAATGCACAATATTTAACTCAAAAATTAAAAAAGTTTCTAAAAATACCTTTAGGTTCCTCTGACAGAGCACATTAGGATTTGACAATATATACAGCGCTGAATAGAGCAAGTTTTTCACTACGAGCTCATACATATCCCGTTTTGGGGTCAAAAACGTCCAGTCGCCTTTATTGAATTTAAAGCACAATGTCATACGGAATTAGAGATCAAATGAATAATAAAGATAATATAGATAAAAATCTAACTTTTAAACCTCTTCATCACGAAAGTACTAGAGCTGCATCAGCGCCGGTCTACAGTTTAAGAGTATATGTGGTAATTATTAATTATTCATACATGGAATTTAGTACTTCTATTTCTTCTTTATTGAATTGACATGAAATGTGAATTTATGTGGTACGTACGCTAACAAATAACGGCGATAAACTAGCCGGCCTATAGTACGTTAATCTGATGGAGAGCATATATCTTTACTCTAATTTTTATTACAAATCCATCGTCTTATGGAAAGCGTCTAGCGAAGGGGAGTACTTTTTTTCGGCTGAAGAAAATAAAATGCAGGCTGCAAAAATGAGAAGGACACAGATGCGTTTTGGTCATGACCCGCATTCTGAAAATATAATTTCGACACACATATAAGCATATTATCATTTGTTACAGACTGCAGTATGGATTGAGGAAGAAGACTTTGATCCGATGGGTTTGAAAGTTCACTAATCTCATCTCCTTATGATGAGAACGTTCTATAAGCACACAGCGGACTCTTTCAATGTACAATTATTTGGACTCTTGATCCAGAAATTCTGTTTCTGAAACTGATAATCTCAGTTTTGGAAAAAATAAAAGCGACACAGGAAAACAATTGAAAATGAGGAGAAAATCTTAAAAATCAGGAGGTTTGGGCACTCTGCTCTATATATGGAGTATATGAAACCAGAAAAAAAGAAAAGAATTGTATATCTATGTTGCAGGGAAATTAAAATCTAGTAGAGTTTAAAATTCTCCTAGTAGAAATTAAAATTTTAATGTTTTCTAGTGGAAATTAAAATCAACATATTCACAAACACAAAAAGTCAATTATCCGGCTTTAGAGCTTGAATTTTAGTTTTCTGAAAAGCGCACGATGTTTATGGACATCAGGTGAAGATTATGAACTGTGACTGCGAGTCCAAAAACAGCAACTTATGAGCAGAATTTGACCCGTAAACGTTTTGTGACCTGTATTATAACTTATGACTATATTTTGGTCGGATAGAGGTTTTAGATTCGCAGTCACTGTTCCGCAGTCATAACCTTCATCATGTCCATAAAAATCGTGCGCTTTTCAGGAAACTAAAACTCGCGCCCTAAACTGGATAATTGAGGTTTCGTGTTTGTGAATATGTTGATTTTAATATCTACTAGGAAAATTTTAAACTCCACTTGATTTTTTCTGCTTCTGCAACATATATACGTCTTATTCGTATGGAGTCTACTGGTTGACTGGCCAGTTTTTACTGTGTGCTCATACCGTTTGGTGATCAAATAATATAATAAACTCCTATTTTTTCCATGAAGACAGCATTTCTAAGGGTCGAGTCTGGCAAGTATTGAGTTTACGTTTGAGATTGAAGAGAGCAAAACATTACCGTTTCTTGTTAGTATCATCAGAACTGATTCCACATATGATACAACTATCTTCAGAAGAAACACATTTACAGGTCTAATCATGAAATGGGACTCATATGTCCCCATGTCCTATAAACGCTCAGTCATCAGTGGTATGATTCATAGAGCTATTAATACTTGTTCAACTTATTCGCTATTACATGAGGAATTGAATATTATTCGCAAAACAGCTAAAAGTAATGGTTACCCTAGTTCTTTTATTGAAATGTTTATTGGGATAAAAATTAGTAAATGGTATAGCAAATCTGATACGTGTGTTGCAGCGGCGTAACCAGGATTTTTAGTCCAATGGGCAAACTTCTATTGTATCGGAAAAAAACGATGGGCAAAATGGGCAAGGTTTTTGTCGATGGGCCAAAAGATTTTTGGTCCAAAAAGAACACAAAAAAATGAAATGAGATTCTTTTTTTTTGAATTAGATCCTAATTCAAAAATAAACAAACGATTCTGTCTATAGGCACTCTTACATATATCTTTCTAAGGGTTATACAAAATAAAACCGCATGGGTATATCTGCTAAGTAAAATTTCAATGGGCAAAAACTTACTAATAAAAACTACAATGGGTAAATCTCCAAATGAAATGGGCAATTGCCCATTTGCCCCCCCCCCCCTGGATACGCCGCTGATGTGTTGATACGGATACTGATAAGAAAAAGAAAAGATTGTTTATTGAAGTGCCTTTTGTTGAGAATAGCACAAGAATGTTTAAAAACGACTTACGGAAGTTTACAACTGAAATTCGACCAGATTCACAATTAACAATTATTGAAAAGTCGCCAATATCAGTTCAAAATTTCTTTGATTTTAAGGATAAAATACCAAATTACTTGAAGTCTGATGTTATTTATAACGTTAAATGTAAAGACTATAGTTCACAGTATATGGGTAAAACTAAACGACAAGCATGTAGACGACTGTGTGAACATGGATATCCAAAGATATCTATAGTTCTCAATCATCTCAGTCATTATCTAATGTGAATTCATCTTCTATGACCACAGCAGCACAATCAGTGAAAACAGCTCGAGTAGCTAAAACAAAAGCTACTCAGAAAATCACGGAACAGGTTAAACGAATGAATGCCTCTGATCGAAAGATTCGCAAAGAGATTGATAATTATTCAGACATTAAAGGTGTGAAGTCTGCTCTACAAAAATATGTTGAAGATACCTCTCACACTATTGATTGAGAGAATTGGCGTATAATGGACAGGGACAAAGTTGAATATCGATTGTTAGTCAAAGAGTCTTTGTTAATAGGATCATTCAATCCTGACTTAAATCGTACAGTTAGATCTGTACCTTTGATTGTGTTTCCCGACGGCCTTTCTCAGAGAAAGAGCAAAAGGAATATTGATCCAGGCGGATAGAGAAATGTTATAAAGAGTGAAATAAAAGGGACTGATAATATAATTACTGACTGACTGTCTACAAGTAACACACAATATATACAGACAAAATTCTTCTATTTCACAACATTTCATGCGTAAAGTACAGTAATGTTCTGTAATATTCTTTGAAAATGACTCTATGAAGAGTCGAAACGTCAGATCTTTTTTAATAAAATAGATTTCAGTTTAATCTATGGCTGCTGTTAATTTAAAAAAGAATATTCTAATCAAATTACTGGCTCTTAATCGTTTTAATGTTCATTCTTGTTTCCGGCGGCACTATGAGCCTAATGTTAGTTATATGTTTCGTGATTATGTAACGTTACAGTTGAAAGTTCAGAAAGTAGAAATGGATTTGATATTTTTGCGAACGTGTTTACGTGAACAATTAGAACCAGTATTTATTCGTATCAAGTTACCTCAACATATTCAAAATAGTAAGGCTGCTACTCAGTTAAGATTACGAGTGTTGAGAATTGAAATCAAGTTCAAGCGTAAAGTGTTAAGTCAACTTCATCATCGGTCAAAGAGCATATTTTCATTTATTGAAACAATGACTAGCTCTACAGTTTATTCGAAGTTACAGATAATTAAAAGCTCAATTGTCAGTGATAAGTCGAAGTTATGGAGGAAAACATTAGTAAATAAGTTAATTAAGTTACGTAGAAGTTGTCAGCATATTGGAGTAAAACGAAATGTGCAAGATTCTATCAAACATCTCCTGAATTTTTCGAAACGAATATTAACTGAAGATGAAGAAGAAGTACTGATTAATGGTCTCCAACATGTATATTCTCCCCCGGTTTCCAATGAAAGGGATTTGATAAGTAACATAGAATATTTCTATATTAGATTGTTAGGTTTCAAAACAGAGTATTATGATTATGAGTTACGAAAATGAGTTTCTCATATTATTACCTCTCTGGCTATCGTTGCATCATGTTTTACTCGGACTTTTCTTCGAGAACATGATACGATCACTTTTTGAAGTTTACATCGATCCTACTTTGCCGTCAGTACTCCACAATTTCTATGTAAAATGGTAAAAGACATTCTTACTGAAGAACCTATACGGATTCAAAATGAGTACACAGCAATTTTGGTCTAGGCCCTCGTTTAAATCCTTGCGGCGTATTTCTGTCGCGATGGTAAACTATCTTCTTTACTCTATTTCTAAATAGTGAATAGTGAGCTGTGATACCTTTAGTGAAAGAAATTTTCATCGCGGGTGAAGTTTTCTGCCTATGATTCAAAATCTAGTATCAAAATAAAGGTGAGAGAGGCTGATATCTTATGATTCTAACGTGAGCCTTACCAATAAGGTAACGTTTGTCGTATGTGAAGAAAACATTCACGCTTGGACTTTCAGAGAATGCGTATCCCTGATTACTAGACGCTAATATCCGTTCGTTGCTAGAACCAATCTAGCATCTTGTGAATGAGGCGGAATGGCTTAGCCCCAATCCTCTGTGTGTCAAACAGGACCGAACTGATACTCGCTACACCCTGAAAGTCACCAACGGCAAAACGATCTTACACCAAGGATACTCACGATTGCGATGACATCAACCTTTGATGCTTTTCTCACTTTAGTGCATTTTTATTTTGAAACCTTGTGATATTTAACGAAGTTGTACATAGTAGAAGCCCCTAGATTTCACACATTTTTTTTGAATCCGTTTGTCCTTGGCAAAATTTCGTAAGATTCATGTGGAAACTTTCGGAATTGCGACCTATCTAACATAATCGATCAAACTGAGAAGCGATCGGAGGAGTTTTCAACGAAAATCAGCATTTCTTTTTCACAGTTTCTCTATGGATTTTCATTCTGCATGAAATTCTATCCTAAGAACCGAAGTCTACACGAAAATGGATATTTTTCTCTGATAGTACGTTAATAACGTTGGTTTTGGAGATTACGTCAATTTCTGATACTTGGCTCATTTATACTCAAAATGATCAACGCTTATCAAAGTTTTTAAAACGCTAGTAAATTAGTTTAAGAAGCTTACGTTTTTTCTCTGCTTTTTTATTTATTTTATTCTAATTTATATTCTTTCGTTCTGATTTTGTAATATTCGCATATACAACAGAGATGGATAAGTATATTGTTACTTTATCGTTTAGAGTTATGAAACGGTTTTCTGGAGATCTCCTAGAAAACCGGTCATTGAGAAATACTTTCAACTTTGTTTTAGTTATAAAAAAGATAGCTTAAAGTGTTGGCTATCGAATAGCAAATACCACAAGTTTCTACCACCTTTCGCTCTTGACTTATTCAAGAACCACTGACCGTCATATGAAAATCCATTACAAGGGAACCTATTAAAGGTAGCCTCGGTGAAACTCACATAGAGGACCGTATTAGTAGTAGAATTAACTTGTTGTTGTATTAGCATTGAATTACTTGTGAAAAATTGCATATCAAACTGCTTTTTATGAAATTTTAATGTACTAGAGCAGTCATCCACCCCATCCCGATCCAGCACTCATCCGGTCTGTTTTGTTTTTTTTTGCTTATCACATCAGCCTATCTCACCAGATCGTATCTGTCATATCGTATCCCATCCTATCTAGAGTTACTTCAATTCTTAGATTCAGAGAGAAAGAGAGCGAAACACATGGTTTATATCTTTCATAGGAAAGTGTTCAACTCTTCTGTCTGATAGAATGAATGTTGGCGAATATCTTTCCCACCCAACAGTCAATAATAAACATTGATAACAATAAACTATGAATTTGAATCAATATTAAATTTTTGTACTCGATGATTGCTCCAATCGACGACATAGAGATTGCCATGTCGATCGAATGAAAAACCAGACGGATAATTCAATTGATTCGACTGTCTTCCTTTACCATTTCCACCAGCAATGACACTTCCATGTGTGGCTCCTTTTGGCCAACGCATGATTCGATGATTCGAACAATCAACCACATAGACAGTGCCCAATTGATCAACAACGACTCCTAGAGGATATGACAATTGTGAAAGACTATTTCCTTCTTCTTGACCACCGGCTACGCCAATGCCTTGTTTTGCACCTTCTTCCCATTTCATCATACGATGATCGGACACATACACTGCATGATCTCGATCGACAAAGACGTACGGAGGGCAAGAGAGTTGATCGAGACTATTTCCCCTTCCATTTCCACCTGCAACCACAGTTCCTTCACTGTCACCAATTCCATATCGTCTTCTTCATCTTTTCCATCGTCAACGACATAGAGAGATCCATTCTCGTCCATTGTCAAACAGGTGCAAGAGATGTTCGAGGTGAGTGTTTCTCCACTAGTACCATTTCGACGAGGCCATCGAACTGTTCTTTTATTCCCTCTATCGCAGATGATGAGACTATCTCTTTCTTTGTCAGTAATCACATCAGAGGGAATATTCAACCGATGAGCTCCATTTCCACCGGCAACCACTTGGTCACTCATCGCACCACATTTCCATTCCACAATACGGTGATTAAGCTGATCGGCGACATAAATAGTTTGATCATTATCGACATACAAACTGAGTGGGTAATGGAGTTGATTGATTCCATTCCCGTCACCATTTCCTTCAGCCACAGTGAGACCATTCTGTATCCATTTTGCATTCGAATGAATGTCAATCGAACTTGAACGTAGTGGTGCTGAAATAAAACAAAAATATCGAGTAGAAATAAAGATCGATCACATTGAAATGAGTCATTTTTGTTTTGAACAATATTTAGCAGAGTGATCGTTCATTGTCTTGACAGTGAACAATCATTTGAAGAACTGTTCTTTCAATTACAAACAAATTCGATTCTTCTCCACATTCCAAAACCTTTGACTTTTCACTTGATGCGATTCTGATTTTGAAGTTTAGAAATGTTTATTGTTTTAGAAAAATGAATTTGTTTTCATCGTCTACCCAATAACCGTCGTATTTTTGTCCGTCAGGCCAAGTCAAGTCGCCTCTGCCAGATCTGAGTGACACTCACTTTTGTTTGCAGTGTAAATAGTTCCGTATAATTAATTAAAAAATGCAAGATCATGAAATATAAAGACGTATTTAGGTTTTCACCAGGCGAAAGTGAGGACTTGGAGACATGCTTTCACAAGCAAAATGTTTTCTGAAATAGGTTTTCTAAGCGATCTTTGAAAAACCAAGTCGTATGTAAACATTTTTCAATAGGATTATATTGATCTTTTTTCATTGGCAAGTAGCCCGGGATCTCCTCTTCAAAACAGGAGTCAAGCGAGGCCTTAATTTTCTGCAGCTTGGGCGTTGTATTGAATTTCTTGCGTGTTCCAGGACGAGCACTGGTGACTATTAGTAGCCCTGAGACCTGATGGATTATAAATAATTGATCATGGTGAGTTTCGTGGAAATATCCATTTTTAGAAAAAGTTTTAAAAGTCTAGCGAAAAGCGAGTTTTACAAAAATTGGGGTTTTCAGGCTGTTTTCACCTAATATTAAATAATTCACTATTCACCCAAAAAACATCAAAATGAGTTCAAAACTTGTAGAGTATTTAGTATTCAATACAAAGAATGTAGAGTATTTAGACTCTTATATGTCCTGTTTATAGGAGCTCTAGAGGGAGATTTTATACAACTCTAAGGTTTTCCGAATGGATTTCTGGAAAATGCATGAATGTCTACTTAAATTACTAATTCATAGAAAACTAAAAATCTAACATTCATAGTAACCTTAGTTGTCTCTAGAAACCAAAGGCAGCGGTTCTCTCAAAACCAGTCAAAATCTTGCTATGCGTGATTTGATTAGTGAGACTAAGTGTAAAGATAAGAGATCGAAAATAGAGGTGTGCAGGATGACCCTACCCTACCTGTCCTATTGGGGTAAGGTAGAATGCAAACTTTATAGGGTAGGGTAGGTTAAGGGTACGAAACATTTCTATAGGGTAGGGCACAGATTGAGACGTTTGTCATAGACTATAGAGATAAAGAACGCTTAGTATTGAGAGACATTCGCTTCTTTAGTGGTGCATGGCTTCGTTATCCATCAGAGAGGATCTATGCCTGTTGTTATTGGATGTAGATGTGGAGTTTTTGAATAAAACTGTAGCTAGAGAAACGAACGCTGATCGGTGAATGAATGATCTCTATTTTACTCCTACTTTCTTATGTGCAGGTGTAGGGTAGAGTGTAGGGTGCAAACTATTTAAAGTCAACAGGGTAGGGTGGGGCAGGGTGTGGAAGCTAATAGAGTAGGGTATGAGGAATTTCTATAGGGTAGGGTACAGGGTACAAAAAACTAGTACCCTGCACACCTCCAATCGAAAATACAAACCGTTCGAAACAATCAAACGTTATGATATGACTTAAAACAAAAAATTAGTAAACATTATAGTGCCTTCCTAGAAACAGAAGTTTGAAAAGATTTTCGGACTGAGATTCAGCGATTTTAAAAGTTTTTCTTGATTTTCTGGAATTCATAGCCAAAGTAAAGCTATAAATCATTGCTAAAATCGAGAGCCTAGAATCCTCTCTATAAAGGTTTTTGCGAATCTATACCGCTTACCTGACTTCTCAGACTGCGCTTCTTCAACAGGGTCAATTCGACTGCTAAAAGTGATGTTGTAGTCTACGGAGAAAGTATTATTCGTAGACCAAATGCTGCTAATAAACTACTATTAAACATCAATACTTTTAGTAGCAATATGAACAATCCGTTGTAAATAATCTAAATTACAACAAAGAGATTTAAATGTGTTTTAGAAAAATATCGTATAGATCAAAATGAAAAATGTTTCCATAGTTCATCTTATAGAAAAACACGTTTACTCTACAAAACTCAGCCGTTAGAAAAAGTTTTTACTAAAAAATCTTTTTTTCAATTTTCTGTCATTTAGCGATTTTATAAGTTAAATTTTTTGAAAAAATAAGAACGGATCAGTAATCAGTCTATAATCGGATCTTATTACTAGTCTCATTATCCTACCCTTTTGTTTATTTCTATCATTACTTACTAATAACGATTCTACAGGCAGAAAAGGTCTCACAAACAAAATGGAATTATTTGCTTTCAACATGGTCGATAATTAGTTTAGATATGAGTTAATACAACAAGCTTTCTGTAACGATTTTCAAAATGTTTTCTCTTATGTTCTAAATAGCAGAAAAACATTGCTAATTATAGTTTCATGACAATTAAACCTCTATTAACGATCCAAAACAAGTTCTTTTCTATATATGTCTACGCATAATAAAATTTACAATGCCAACAACAGGTTGATGAATTACATTTTCAACAATTTGAATTCAGTAAAAGTGGCACGAGTATATATATATATATATATTCGTGCCAATTTTACTGGCATCCCAAAATAATTAAAAAGTTGATAAATCATATAATTGTGATTTTTTTGAAAAAACGCATGAGCATTTCTTTCTATTCTAGATGAGTTTTACTTAACTGACAGCAATTAAATTTTATCTTTAAAGTCTCGTTAATGAATTTCAAATCGAATTCTTTGTCCAATATTAGTGAAATAATATTAAAACGATCGATGGAAAATCAGTTCATTACAGTTCGTCATAATAATCAACGAGATGAATTATTTAAACAAAAATGTTTAATGTACGATAGACAATTTAAATTAATGGATAGAAATATCGATTTTGCAGAGAAAAATGTTGAAAAACGGGCAGCAGAATATGGATTAAGTGTTAAATGTAAGAAAATATATTCGCTCACACCTACTACTTCATTTCCTATGAAAGAATACACTGTGGAATCGACTCGTGCCTCGTTTGACGGCAAGCAACAATATGATTTAACATATAATAATATGTGTGATGATTACCGTTCAAAGCTTCGTAGTAAGAGACGTATGCATACAGAACTCATGAAGCAATTTCTGAAAAATACAGAGATTTATAGATATGACGATACTTTTATCAACAATAAAGCCATAAAATCAGAGTTTTTGAGATTACCACCGTTAACAGTTAATTCGAAATGTTCATACAATCGTAAACATGTTCAATTTGAAAGCATTCTTTTATAATGTATCAAGAAGTAACATAACATTTTGTGTGCTGTTTTAAATAGAGAAACATGATTTTTGTGTTTAGCCAATCTTGCTTTTTTATATAAAAATAACTTACAGAGTATGTTGCTGTGTGGCAATCACAATCGAAAGCACAACAGATACATATTTGGTCGTCACAACCTTACAAGAAGCAAAGAAAAAAAGACGAGCAGACAAAAGTAAATCAGATAAAAGAATTGTTTTTACAAAAAAAATTCGAACCAACATGAAATACATATCTATTTAAAAAAAAGAAAACATAAATCATTATATTACAGTAGTTATCAAAATGAAAAATTCTTGAAACAAAGGCAAAAAAATATTTTTTTGACATTTTAATCACCTACTTTCAAAAATAGGTCCATGCTTCTACGACTTTCAACTGGAAATATCAAATGCTGGTTACAAAAGAACAAAATAATTATCACTCATTCAAAAATGAAACAATCTAGTTCGTTATGTTAGTTTGTTTGTAAACAGATTACTCAACAATGGAAAATACACAAACTATCAAACATCGAAGCCTACAATCGATTTTGATCAGTTTACAAAGGTGAGCAACTCAGTGACCAAATTTTCAATGTTCATTTTCATCTTGTTCAAGTTTACTTAGACCTTCAATTGTTATTTCGTCAATTGGATGACTAAAGTATTGTTCAATCGATTTCATTATATTGTAATCTTTTGCGCTACCAATCAAGTTGAACGTATAACCTAGAAATAAAAATAAAATAACTATTATCATAATCTTTTTCAACTCTTAGCAATTCATGTACCAAGTCTTCCAAATCGGCCACATCTTCCAATTCGATGCAAATACGTTTCAAAATCCGGCTGACCTTTCATATCTAATGGCATTTCATAATTAATAACCAACGATACATCGTCTATATCGATACCTAAAAAATATGCATAACTTAGTCATTACAGTTTTCGACATTTTGGCTATTGGTTATTTAATCGTCCATTCACTATACCTCTAGCAGTAACATTTGTGCTAACTAAAACACGAAATCCTCCTTGACGAAACCGTGTAATAACTGCAGCACGTTGTTCTACATCCAATTGTGATGTGAGCAAACCGGTTACATGGTTCTCCGAATTCATTTGTACAGCTAGTTCATTTGCATTTGCTTTAGTCCGACAGAATATCATTACTTGACCAATTGTTAAATTAAGATAAATCTGTCTGATTGCCTCATATTTATCTTCTTTATTATCACATCGAATAAAATATTGACAAATATTCGTTAATGTTTGCTTTTCTCGTTTTAAACGTAATACAATTGCATTTCTGATAATATTATTGGCAAAATCCATCACTTCGTCCGAATACGTAGCTGAGAATAACATCATTTGACATTGCGTACGATCCAGCCCATCGACTAAATTTACGCACATTTCTTGAAAACCTTGTGTTGATATCATTATATCGGCTTCATCAACAACACACATCGACAGTTTTTTTAAATCAATAACACGTTTTTTTCGACAATATTCTTCAACTGTGCCTGGTGTTCCGATGACAATATTTTCTTCTAATAGTTGATTTCGTACCAACTGACCTCTCTTTGATATATTAGCATCACGTACAGCATACGCTATCCGAATATGTGGCATAAATCTGGCCATATTCTCAATGACAGAACCAATTTGTAATGCTAACTCAAATGTTGGTGCCAATATTAATGCTTGAACAGATTTCACATTTGGATTAATTCGAGATAACGTTGCTAAACTAAATGCTGCTGTTTTTCCAGTTCCACTTTGCGACTGAGCTAAATAAATAAAAAGATGATATCAACATTCTTATCCCTTTTTAGTCATATCAGATATACCTATGATATTTCTTGGTGATGCGTCAAGTAAATATGGTAGTGTTAACTCTTGAATTTTACTCGGCGTTGAAAAGCCCATGTTGTAAATACCTAGGAAAAACAAAAATGGATAAATTGATTGTAAAACACAGATGAGTGTCAAACCGCACCTTTTAGCAATTCAGGTTTCAAATTCAAATCCTGGAAGGATTTTATAGAGTACAACGGTGAGTTGGGGTCTAAACGTTCAACTTCAACACGTACACCACTTTGGTCACGTAGTGTTGTATTAACGTATTTTCGTACCAATGCATCTTCAGCTGGTGAGGCTTGAGTATCATCTTTTTCATCGTAATTACTATTCCCAGCCTCAGAGGGAAAAAACACTGGTGGTGGTGGTGAAAACTTGGGAGTGGCAGAGATTGTTGATAGTGAACGATGTTGAGTATTACCATTATTGGCAGATATTGATGATTGTTGTTGTTTTTGTGATTGATCAAAAGATGTGGACTGACGTTGTGTACTCACTGTTTCTTCTTGATTGCTTTGGAATGATGGTACATGATTTTGTGTTGATGGATTTGCTCCACCATTCGAGTTTGATTGACGAAACGAAAATTGAGGTGTATTAATATTCGATGGTACGGTTTGTTGTTGATTAAATAAGAACGGTTTTGTATCATTCATTCGTTGCGTTGGTGAACGAACTGAATGTTCGTCTGATATTGGTTTTCCATCAGAAACGGACGATCTAGGGTCTGGCGGAAGTGACGGTTTAATTTGAGTAAAAGAAAATGGGGGTAAACCTTGCGTTGGTGATCGAACTGAATGTTCCTCTGATATTGATTTTCTATCCGAAACGGACGATCTGGGGTCTGGGGGAAGTGACGCTTTTATTTGATTAAAAGAAAATGGGGACAAACCTTGCTTTGAGAAATCAAATGGTGCAGATGGTTGAACTGCGTCGATCGATGTGCGCGATGAATCTGAAGACGTACGAAATGAAAATCGAACAGGTTCTGTTACTAAATTAGATGTTGCTGATGAGGTCAGAGAAGAGTTTTTTTCTGTACGAGATGGGTAATGTGAATTTGCATTAAATGACATTTCTGTGAATGAAGGTCCACTGTTGGCATTGTTGTTGTTATATTGAGCTCCACTTGTGGATGTCATAGGAAAAGATGATGATTGAATTGACTGGGAATTCTAAAATAGACAGAAAGTGAAATAAATTATGGCAATTTCTCAAAAAAGGATGTTGAGTTGAGTCGTTTATCAATTTACGCGCGGGTCCTGATAATGACTGCTTTCTCAGCAGTTAGTGAACAACTCTTAATGACCTATGACCTACCAGCTTTGACCAGCCTGATTATGACTGGAAATTCCACGTTAGACAAAACTCAGCACTACTTTTGTCTACGCAATTCTAAAATACTCGGTGGTAAGATTGAGGCTTTTGATCTCGTTAAGAACAAACGGAAAGGTTCTACTCTTGAAATCTACAAATATATGTATATATAGTCCCATCATTTGTTTGTTTTTACATTATTCTGATCGATATGCTTTATGATTCATGAAAAGAAAACAAACCATATCGCATGTGCTGTCATTCTCATCACAAAGAAATAAAAGTGAAGAGCAACAGAAACAAAAACAACTTAACTGTTGAGTACAAGAAACAATAAGGAAAAGAAAGTACCAACACAAAAAAAAGTCTTATGTAATGTGAGTTCTTCTAGGCTATGCTAAAAATCAAAACGAAGAAAAACTGTTAACAAATGTACAATGATCACCGTATTATATCTACGTTCCACATATATATCACACATATATCACGCTATCTGAACCGGTTTCATTGCTCTTGATAAAAGACAACAATAAGAAAACAAAAAGATCAAAAAAATAAAAACATTTTTTATCGCACAACATGACATTAATCTGACTACTCTTAGAAGAATATGAATCTGATTCTTTGCGCAAATAGAAGAAAAAAGTTACAATCCATAAACTTCATCCTGTTGTACACCTTCTTCAGTAAATTCGGGTATTGGTTTTTGAAAATAGTTTTCAATTGATTTCATTAATTCCATTTCATGGGTTTTAATTAAATTAAACGTATAACCTAATCAAAAGGACGAAATTATTTATTATTTAGAATAACGACGCAATAAAACTATCTTACCAATTCGTCCAAATCTTCCCGCTCGTCCAATTCGATGAAGATACGTTTCATAATCTGGAACATTGATAAAACGTTGTTTTTCCATATCATACATCAATGGCATATCATAATTAACTACTAATGAAATATCATCAATATCAATACCTCGAGCACAGACATTTGTCACAACCAAAACACGAAATTTCCCTTCGCGAAAACGCTTAATAACAGCAGCACGTTGTTCAACATCCAATTGTGAGGATAATAATTCGACACAATGTTTTTCGCTTTTCATTTTTAAAGCCAAATTGTATGCCGATTGTTTGTTACGACAAAATATCATAGCTTGACCAACTGTTATATTGACATAAATTGTTTTAATCGCGTCATATTTTTCATCATCATCTTGACAACGAATGTAATACTGACGAATATTTGTCAACGATTGTTCTTCCCGCTTTAATCGAAAAATAACTAAAGGAAGAAGCCAATAAAACATACAAACATTGATCGTTCCATATCATACCTGGATTTTCAATAACACGTTTAGCAAAATCCATTATTTCATCCGAATATGTTGCCGAGAATAACATTGTCTGGCATTCTTTATCAATTGTTTTTTTAACAAGATCAATACATATTTGTTTAAAATCGGCTGTAGAAATCATCACATCGGCTTCATCAACAACAAATACTTTTAATTTTTTTAAATCAATAACACGTTTTTTTCGACAATAATCTTCAACTGTGCCCGGCGTCCCGATGACAATATTTTCTTCTAATAGTTGATTTCGTACCAATTGATCTCTCTTTGATATTGTAATATCTCGAACAGCATATGCAATTGTAATATAGGGTAAAAATTTGGCCATTTTTTCAATCACAGAACCAATTTGTAATGCTAACTCAAATGTTGGTGCCAATATTAATGCTTGAACAGATTTCACATTTGGATTGATTCGAGATAACGTCGCTAAACTAAATGCTGCTGTTTTTCCTGTACCATTTTGTGATTGTGCTATCATGTTTCGTGGTGGGTATGCGAGAAGTTGTGGTAAAGCGCGTTCTTGTATTCGACTTGGTCGTCGAAAACCCATATTATAAATCCCTAGAAAAGAAGAGGATGGAATGGCAGCTGAAAATTGTTGCTGTCAATCGTACCATTCAATAAATCTTGTCCAAGTTTTAATTCTTCAAACGTTTTGACCGAATATAAGGGACTTGAAGGATTTGTTCCATCATCCTGTACAAATGTTTCATCAACATCCCTTAGATGTGGAAATTTGTTTAATAATGCGATTTCAGCTAGATCCAATGGCTGTTCTACTTTTTCATCATCATTATCATCATCAAACTCATATCGTTTAGTTACTTGTTGAGATGACCGTTGTGGGGGTGAAAACAAATTTGAATTCAATATATTATTACTATTATTATTGTAATGGCTAGTATCAGTATTTAGATTCATAGACGAAAACAAATCAAAATTGAATAATGAACTATTTTGAGGATGATTATTGCTGGAACGATCAAACGGCAGAACCTTGGATGCTGTTGATGGTGTTAAATTTTTGAATGAAAATCGATCTCCTTTCGATGGCAAGCCATAATGATAAAAACTAGATAACTAAAAGCGAGAGAGAGAAGAAGCCAATAGAAAATGAAGCAGGTTACACATAGCAGTGCTAAAGCATTTGAGTACACATTACTCATAGTGCAAAAAGAAAGAAGTTACTATGCTCGAAATGACAAAAAACCGAGAGGATAACAAATATTTCATAAAACGAAGTATGAGCTTATACGAAAAAAAGCGTTAAGAAATATAAATTTCTCACCACTATAAGAAAACAACTTAGCATGAAAGATGCTGTACTATGTTTCTAATGTACGTGTAAATAATGTGATAGAAATAATCACTAAGAATTTATTCACTCAACTTCTGAAACTAACGAAAAAATAAATAAAACTTTATTAGTGTAGTTCGAACCACGAAGCAACCTTTATTTTCAATAGCATTATTAGAGAACAGATATCAATCGTTGTATGTAACACCACTCAATAGACACGATATTGAGACAGTTTTTACATCAGTTAAGATGGGAAAAAATACAACAAACAAAATATTTACCGTTTGTTGCTGTTGTTTTCCATCGTTACTTGCATTAACCGTCTTCGTTTCGTTTCCACTAAAATAACATGAAATTTGTTATTATTTCAGAACACGTCGTATTCTCTTTGACCGAAAAACTTACCTTTCTCGTTGATTGTTAGTATTACTCTGTGAAGTCGCTCCTCCACCTGCTACTAGCCCGACATGATTTCCAACAAACATACCTTTGATAGAAGACAGTTTTTTGAGAGTAATATCTAAAAAGTACAGGTAACAATTATTGTTAAATGAAGAATATGACGAGAAAATCTAATTATAAGACGACAGACAGACTACGTAAGGAAGCTCCTTGCGTAAAAAGAAGAGAGAAAATATATCGAACTAAGAATAAGACGAACACTCATCATATTCTTGTGAAGAACTTTGTCCACCACAGTACGAACGAAAAAGAACAAGTTCACAAAATTGTATAGATGTATTCCGTTCGAGCGATTAAAAGCACAGACATTAACACAACACTGTAAAGAAACCGCACGCTTTAACCGTTCCAACCTGACTCTTAAAACATTCTTTAAAATACAAATACAACCTAACGCCAAAATAATGATTTTTGACGCTTTTTCTGTCAGATCGGGTGAATCATCTGCAATTGAATAAACAAAAAAGACACGACGCTTAAACCGCCAGGTCGTGCAACCTGACGGTTTAAGCGTCGGATTTCTGCTCATCGAATGTTTTAAAAATGAATTATTCTTTCTTTTATGTTTAATGTTTTACCATTAACTTCACAGAAGCAAAGATTGGAACTAAACTTTGATTTTTCAATTAAAATGCATAGAAACTTAGCAGTAGAAGTGATATGTTGCATACTGTCCCAAGGAAGGTTATTAATCGCAAACTAGATATTAAATTAGCTTTTTTCGAAATGTTCAAAGAAATCAGATGCAAAACAGAGGAATCTATCACCTGAATCGTCAAGTAGAGATAATCGTTTTGCACATTTTGTAATTCTCGGATTATTCCGTGGCATCCTAGAAAGAATAGCAACCTGTCGAATCGCCGATCCCTAGAGTACACATGGCAAAGAATAACCTGAGGAATATCACAAGGTAAAATCTGAGGAAACCGCTGGTTCTTTTAAAGCGAGTTCGACAGATATTTTTGCAAGCCCCGATTGACAAACAAATCATAGTATAAACTTCTGTATTTTTATTACAACAGCGTTAATGTTGTGCATATAACTTTTATAAAGAAAACAATAAACAAATATTACAGGAAAAACATCAATAAATGCATAAGTATTTAATATTTTAGGTTAAATAGAAATTCTAATTAGAAACTCTTTACCGTTCTCAGTTTTTTCAAGAAATTCGTCGGTTTTGAGATAAATATATTATTATCGGAAAGATGACATCGTTGTGAAATGCAAAATGTATTTATTTCAAAAACAACGGATTTCTTCAAAAAATCGTGAAGCTTCCTTCAGCCATGGAAAAAATCAAAAACTTTAACTTGATCCGAGGAGATAATGAATGAGTCAAGTTATTACGCAAATTAAACAAACAATTAAAATAAATGAATGGAATTGGTTCATACTAAAAAGCGTACAGTCGAACACTTTCCTATTGGTAGTTGAAAAATTTCAGCCAATAGGAAATCGTACGAATATTTTACAGTGTACCATCGTTATCTTCTTTTAGTCGAAAATTCCCTTACTGGAAGGTAGGAAAGGTCTCGAAAAAAATCGATCTGCTTGTAGCTGTCTCTTCGTATAATCTATTTGGTCGGTTGATCCGCTAACAAAAATAAGGAAATCAAGATGTCGCCCATTGTTGAACGGAAACCAAATACTTTTACATGACAGAAATACAAGTAATATGCCTCTAGCATTGAAATAGATATATTCACTTTGCTGTTAGTTACGCTTTTATAAAAGAAAATGCCTGTTTTTTTGCAGGAAAAGGAGCTGAGATGTTTTAGTAGCAGTGGTTTTGGGGGGGTTGCTTCCACACAGGTTCGCCCACTTTATACAGAGCATTTTGCCGCGAAAATTCCACTTGCCCCATCGTATAGAGCATCAAAAAAAATCTAAAGGTCTCGCTTACGCTTTTCCGAAAAAACGTGTGAAAAGTGGTTTTCTAGGCACCTCAAGTTTTTGGTGAGGGTGAACCCGAAGTCGGTGAAAATGAACGAAATATTGCATAATTATACATCAAATTGTAGCTCTTGACG